GGCTGCGCCTTCAAATCTATTTATATGGTTGTTTTCTCATTTTCCACGTCGTGGGCACTTCTTCCTCGTCGTGGGATTGGTCGTCATTGCATGCGTCATCGTGCACTTGCTCTGTCAGGCTCCAGAAAGCGTTAGAAGCCATGCCATGTCGTGGGCACTGTTTCCACGTCGTGGCCACTGACACAGCTTTGGGGTTCGTGCCCCGAACTTAAGAAATTTATAACTTTCGCATATGAACTCTGTTTTCGACGTTCTTTATATCGACGTGTAGGTAAAAAAAGATCTACAAATCTCGTTTAGACTCCGTTGGCTAATTTTGACTTTATTTTTAACATATTATAAACATTTACTTTTATATTGTTTTTAGTAGGCCGGGACAGGAAAACTCCATTAGAAATTCATAACTTCTTCGTCCGACATCCGTTTTCGTCTCTCTTTTTACCGTTGGAATACTATTGACGAGATCTTCAATTCTCATTTAGATTATTTCGCCTAAAAATCACTCGATCTCATATTCGAGTATTCGGGTTGCATACTACTAAGTCGAAACTTCGGAAAATCATAACTTCCTCTTACGAAGTCAGATTTGGGTGTTCTTTTTATGCATTCTCTCGGTTTAACATATTCTACGACTTTAGTTTAGATCCCTAATGCTAGATATCACTCTATCTTAAATTCATATTTTACGTCATTCAGCGTCGTGTCGGCTCTGTCGCGAAACTTCGACATGTCATAACTTATTCGTTATAACTCAGATTTCGGTAGTCTTTATATATTCGGAAACCTCATGAAATATACTAAAACTTAGTTAAGATTAATCTTTCTAAATAATCTTCCATTAATAATTCATTTTTGATGCTCATTATCTCTAAATTGACTAACCCTGATCTACGGTCGTTATAGAATTCATAGCTTATTTGGTAATAATGGGTTAGATCTTAGCAAATCTCGAAATTTAAGTATTATATAGCAAAGATCTATTAACTATGACATTATATACATCACATTACCAAGCCAAAAATGATTACATGTTTAAGATACAAAAGATTCAACAAGAAAACTTTATTAAGGGTCAAAATTGTCAAGAAACCAAAAGATAAGGGCAAAAAGTGACATTTATGTTTTTATAAGGTCCAAACAGGTCCTATATGAATAAAAAGGTATTTTTATGCTCAAGATACTTTAAAAAGGGCCAAAAATGAATTTTTAAGCTTAATGGGCCAAAACTTTTAAGCCTCACGGTTTTGCGCCCAAATTGTGAAAAAAAAAGTTTTGGGGTTAAAAATGTTATTTGGCCAATGTTTGATTCATAAATGTAAATAAACCAAATTTAGAGGTGAAAATAACATTTATTTTCAAATTGGACCAAAAATGTAAAATTTTCCAAAAATTTGACCGAAAGTGTAAAATTTTGCAAACAAGGGCTGAAAATGTATTTTTCTGCTAAACAGGATTCTAAATGTGAAAATATAACTTTTTGGACTAAAACCGTAAATTTATAGACATTTGGGATAAAATTGCAATTTTTATATTGAGCCCAATTAAGTGTATATTGAGCCTAATGTTTTCCATGACATGTTTATTGGGTCTTGTGGCCCACTTACATGTTAATTTGGGCCTATGTTATGGAGTACATGTTTATTGGGCCTTTGTGGCCCATATACATATCTATTGGGCCCAAATTACTCACTTACATGTTATTGGGCCCTTGTGGTCTAATTTCATGCTAATTGGGTTTGGAATTAAATTCATATGCTAGTGGATCATGAATATACCGTCGCAAAATCATTAAACTTCGTATAGTTAAATATATATCGTTTGAATACAAAAACATACTACATATCCTTAAACGTTAAACATAGTACAAAGGGGTTAAGAATTTAGTGAGACATGTCGGTTGGCACCTCTGAGTGTACAATCATAGCCTGTAGTTATAATCAGAGTTTCCTGGTAGGAAAGCGGGAGTTTGTTATAGATCTATACGGGGTGACCCCCCACTCCTTAACTATTTGCTATAGCTGGACTAAGCCAGTCTAGGGGGACAAAATCCTTAGCAAGACCGACATTTGGAAAAATACCAAGACGGACGACCTAGTCATTATCATGCATGGTTATAACGGCTCATATATGGATTGGATACCAAAAGATTAACCTATTGAAGATAAACTCTTTAATTGTGTTAATGCAAAACGACTCACTTAACGATACACGAAATTAGACGTTGTTATTAAAACATAAAATATCGGATTTTCTGGGAAATTATTCTTACACACTTATCCTTTATTCAAAATACAATGAATCTAAACTACACTCATATAAGTTATAACTATGAAATTCACACATGCATTTATACTTGATTTTCACATCATTTTTAGATATTTTACAGAAAATTTCGGATTTTTTGGGTTTTTATGAAAGATACAAGAACTTTACTCAAACATACTTATGAACTCACCAACATTATATATGTTGACCGTTTTCAAAACAACATGTATTTTTAGGTAATCGTTAAGCCGGAAGATTTGCAAGTGTGTATGGTTCGTTTATGTAATAACACTTATCGTACTTTTAACAATTTGAACTTATGTATTTTAACAATGTACTTGATGTGAACGATGCTAGTTGTATTATGTAATGATGGTGATGATCGTGTTATGATTCACGTATATTCATTGTGATGAATATTCAATTGTTAGTCATGCGAGCCCCCGGACATATCCGTTGTTTGGTTCGGGGGCGTGACAAAGTGAGAGAGAGAAACTTACTCTTCCGGGTGCTGGAGGAGGCCTTTTATACTGAGGTCCCCTACCAGTCCGTATGACACAGGAGCGTTAGACCCGATAGGATCAGGCACACTGATTGGACAATCGTGCTCTTCATTCTGTCAGAGTTAACGATTTGATTCAGGTGGTAATGTGTTGAGGATACCCTTTGTTGTTTGGAACTGTTATGCTTTGTGGCAGAGTAGAGGCGTGCCTGGTGGGGTTAGACCATCTCCGCAGGCGCACCATGCTTGGGGGTGCCTGCGGGCGCAAGATTCCATGGGGATTGCTACACCGGACGTAATTATGCCTTAGGGTATTCGTAGCGCGTTTGAGCATATCTTCTGGCCCATGTTGGAGGCACCTTATCATATAGTATTAATGTTTAATACAAAAAGTCTAAATTGCCTTTTCAGTGATTAATTTAATTGATTAGTTTTATAAAAATAAATAATTAAAATGATTGGTTATGAAACGTTCTCACCTTTATTTCATATTTTATTTGAACATATATATATATATATATATATATATATATATATATATATATATATATATATATATATATATATATATATATATATATATAGATTTTATACAAAGGGGTTAGAATTTGAATGAAAGTATCCGATGCATTAAATGAAGAATCTAACGCTTAGTTACAATGTTATGTACTCTGGGTTTCTCTGTTTATCAGAAATAGTTTGAATGATGTTAGGAGTGGGTCACCTAGAACCGCAGAAAAGAAGAAACATAAAGAAAATTTGGTTGAGGTATATGTTTAACACAGTTTCCTTAAAACAAATTCATCTCATATGAGTGTTTGTTTCTTAGGATACAACATCAGTAAGTGGCTCGCTTTAGGCTATTGATGGTACACGGTTGAGGCTATTAATGGTACACACCAAATGGTGTTAGGAGTGCTCACACACAGGTTTAGTGGCCGGAAGCCAAACTGGTTTGCATTTGCACCTCCTACGTGCGTGCACACGAGAGAGCCTTGGTTCCATAGGTCTTAAAATGGTATCTAGGCTTTGTAGTTATAAACTCATTTCTTTTCATACTCCTACCAATGTAGGATGAAGTAAATCCAATAAACCACTTGTCTATACTCTTCAAAACACCTCACTTTAACATGTAATTTATCATTCATTTTTAACTCATTTTGGACGTATATTATATCAAAACGAAGACTTCATGGAGGAGAACACAAATATGTAATCATTTGTCCATTTTAATTACATCTAAAGTTCGAACTTCATGCTCAAAATGGGAAAAAATCCATTTTTGGAAAAACCAATTATTTTCCAACAAATGGAACAGAAATGACACTGATTGAAATTAGAGCAAAACTAGTCCCATGTATGAATCAACAACTTTTCAAATTCAATGCTAAACCTCTAACTAATAGCTGGTTTAGTAAGCTTTTTTCTTATTCTTTCTTAATTTAGTGAATGTATCTTCTTTTTATATCTTTCTTTTGTTATATTTTTTTAGAATGGCAAGTATAAAATTAAAAATAAAAGAGAGATAGCGGGAAACTAACAACAATATAGAACAAGTTACATTAACAAAGAAACAATATGATTACTACACCAATTATCCCAGCTTAAATCACTCCTGTTAAACCTATTCTTGATCAAGTTAAGTTAAATATGTTAAAAAAGACTGAATATCATCAATTTCAATTCTTTTTCTTAGTAACTATAGACCTTGTCGAAAACCCAAATATTATGTCAAAGTTTGACATAAAGCCTCTAACAAGTTTAACTTTAAACATCTACTCAAAAGTGCACACAATAATTTCTTTTGTTGTATGCATTTAAATTTTCAAAGTTGTTGATATGAACTTAAATTTCAAACAAGGACATATTTGATATTGTTAAGAATTTTTTACAATACCAAAATTGCATGAGTTTGAAAGGTGTTTTTTGATTTCGATGAGATAAAATAATAATAATAATAATAATAATAATAATAATAATAATAATAATAATAATAAAAGAAGAAGATGTGTTACTTTATGCGATTTATCTGTATTTTAGTTTAATTAAGCTTTAATATCTAAGTGATATATTTATTAACCTATCTATCCACCCATCGCCCATCATCATCCATCGAATATTCAAATACTCAAAAGATATATGATATAAGCTTGTATGACAAAGTATTCGCTATATATAATTCCTTATATAAATATAAATTTTATATAATAATAGAAAATTAATGAGGTAATCGTTAACGAATGAAGGAAACCGTAATCGATAATTTATGTCCTAACTTGCAATTTTTGTGTACGGTGCATATGTAATAGTGGTTGTTCATGCTCATGTTCTTAAGGTTAAATCTAGCGAGATTGGTGGTCTGTTGTGAGATTAGGTTTTCAGAATCACATTTGAGATACGCCTTCCTCGTCACTTCTGCAACGTCATTGTTAGAAAGTTTGCCGGTGAAATTAAATACGAGCACTTCATGAGGTTTGAAGGTATGGTGATTTGACCACTTATCATAGAATTTATGTGTGTGGCACACCCCAACCGAATGGATCGCCCACCATGAATTCTTTTGCCGTTGAGTCATGGAACTCTATGGATGCAACCACCATGCATGCCATAATCACAACCAAACTTGAATTTACCATCCTCATTCTATCTTGAGATCCACAAAACCATTTTCTAAGCCATTTGAGAATAAATTTTAGGAATATTTACATAGAAGTATAGTTGATGTTATTTATTGTAAAGATTAATGGTAACTAATATTAAGTATTCATAGTTTGACTTTCAACCCCTTTTGTAGTTAGAATTATTTATTGCAATGATAATAATTTGGTTGTAATTTTTTCGGTTCACGTTTATTCTAATAAATAATTTTTTTTAACATGTCACATTCCATTCTTTTTGGCACATATTATTTTATTATTATTTTAAATTAATTTATTTCTTTGTGTCATTTTATGGTTTTTTCTATTTAATTAAATTCCAGGTAGTATTTAAATATAATAATTACATTGAATGTAATAATAAATGAATAAAAATTTCATAAATTGACTTTTTTTTTTTTTTTTTTAATTTCAAGATTCCTAAATTATAGCTTTGTTAGTTACTTTTGTTTATTTATCTAAATTATTTGTTTAAATTTAAAATAAAAAATATACTTCATTTTTATTTAACATTTTTCTCACTTTTCTTATAAATTCAAACTTTTCAAATATTTAGACCTCCATACTTAACTTTTCTTTTAAATAAAATAATATAATGCATGGGCCTCAGAACTAGTTTAACCAACAAAGTTACATAAAATGTTTAAAAAATAGTACCAATGTTTTAAATAACGTTAGGCATGACTTGACGGCAATATCAAATCTCAAGTTTTTACAAGCCATAACGAGTCATGTTGTTAGTAAACGTGATTTAAGGCGGCAATTATATATATATATATATATATATATATATATATATATATATATATATATATATATATATATATATAGAGAGAGAGAGAGAGAGAGAAAGAGATAGAGAGAGGTATGTTCAAATGTTTCTCACATCTATTGTGTGCTAGAATGCACCAATAAGAATTTAATAGTAATTATATATATATTTAATGATATCCATACTTATAATTCATTTTTATGGAAACTAATTAAATTTGTCAGTAATATCAACAATAATATTCTTTTAGAATGAATTCGTATCTAGAAGAATGAAAGTGTATTCTAGCAAAATGATAGTGTATTCTAGTAGAATACACTCTTGTTCTTCATATTCTATGCAACTTTATTATATTTTAAGTGAGTGAGTAGTGAAACAAAAAACGAATCCATATATAAAAAGCTTGATACGAATTCATTCTAAAAGAATGTTATTGTTGACATTAATAACGAATTTAATTAATTTTCATAAAAAGAGAATTATAATTGTGGATATCATTTAATATACAAACAATTATGAAAATAATTTAATATCTATCTTTATTTAATTAAATAATTATTTAATTTTACTAAATTTCTATTGGTGCATTCTAGCACACAATCAATGTAAAAAACAGATTAACCTACCTACCTACCTACCTATATATATATATATATATATATATATATATATATATATATATATATATGCTTGTGTGTGTGTGTATAGACTGGATGTGTGTCCACATATAGCGACGTCGATAAATAACTTTTTTGACGAATACTGAGAAATAATTATTAGATTTAAGTACGATGCATATCCTTAAATTCTGCCATCATTACTTCTAGATGTGTGCCCGCACATAGCGACGTCAATTTTTTTGACGAATATTTTCTTACAGAGAAATCATTATTAGATTTAAGTATGATGCATATCCTTAAAATTCGGCCTTCATTACTTCTAGGTGCTAAGTTATCCTAGAAAACCGGCAAGCATATATCTATTCATAATATTTCCATAGTATATTAGACAATATAACGACTAGGCATTATATATTTTCTTAAAACTAGATAAAGTATCTACTAGGCGTAATATTAATCATATTATTTTGGCAAGGTAATGATAGAGTATAATATTAATCCTATTATTTTGGCAAGGTAACGATAAAGTATAATATCTAATATTTTGAGTGTGTAGACTAGCGGTATAAAATATATCATATGAAAACAATATTATAACGCAACGATACATTACGATTTACAAGAACATGTATTCCCCCACATATTTTATAAAACGATGGAAAAATGGGTCGTGAAACTCACCATTGTAGCGTGCTTTACTAGACTTAAGGACCACGACTCGTGGCACCGGGACCAGGATCTACTAGACTTAAGAGTAAAGCTTATTAATTCATAAGATATATAAATATAGAATTTCCCTAAGTTTTTTAAGCAAATCTCGAAGCTTAATATGAGAGAAATAAAGAAATGGAGTTATGATGAAGAAAGTGGTATGTTGCCCCTATTATAGGTAGAATTTTCGAAATGCGCCCAGAACATTTAGGGTTCACATCGCACGCTTCCTACATTCCTCTAGTTTTCTGTAGCCACGTGTCACTTTCTTGGTGGTCCATGTCGCTGTTCTAGAAGTTGCACGTGTTGTGCATGCTGTGTGTGTCGTGCAAAACACATATTTTGTAAAATCCATAACATCCTCACACGAACTCCATTTTGATGTTCTTTATATCCATGCGTACCTATCGACGATTACTTCAACTTTCCTTTAGGTTGCATAGGTTAATTCTGACTTTATTTTTAACCCTTAGTTTTATATGATTTAATGATTTTGCGAAATTTATATCTCTCTCATACGGACTCCGATTTTGCATTCTTTTCTCAAACTTCCTATCTTAAGGAGTACTACGATTTTCCTTTTGATGAATTTAGCTAAAAGTCAACCATTCTCTTCGTACCTTTTATGTCAAACATTCTTTGTGCGCGATTGACTTTTATATCTTACAAAATTCTTATCTCCTTCATATGAACTCGGATTTAAACGAAATTTATATTTTCAGGATCGGGATGACGTTACATTATATATATATATATATATATATATATATATATATATATATATATATATATATATATATATATATATATATATATATATATATGTATATATATGTATGTATGTATGTATGTATGTGTTGGCCCATTTAGTTTTATGATTTATGGACAATTCAGTTGATTTTTCCTACCTTTCTTAATACGAAACTTAAATTTTTATTATATATTGATATATATTACATATTAAGTCTATTCTTGACGTTTATCACTTTTCCTAAATAACAATCGGTGCCAAAATTTGTAATTGTTACAGATCGCGCATCGACTTGTTGACACATTAGCAAACTAAGAAATCGCTAGAAACCCAACATCAAGTCAAGTTGGTGGCAGAGGTGGAGGTGGAAGTAGCTCACAAGATGATGATATGGGAAGTTTAAAGTCTTTCATTTACAAAGATTTTATGAACAAAAAGTTGGAACCCTTCTAAGGGCACGAATGAGTGGGCAGGCTGACCAGCTGGATCAAAAAGATGGCATCAGTGTTCTAAATAAGCTTCTGTATAGAGGATAATAAGGCTAGGTTTTCCACTTGCACGTTAGCAGACACAACTTTAAAATGGTTGAAGGACTGTGCTAAAACCATGGGCATTAGAACTACCAAGGCCATATCCTTGAAAGAGTTTAAGCAAATTCTAGTCGAAGAATACAGCCACAGGGTAAGATGAAAAACCTAGAGCAGGAATTATGAAACCTCACCATGAAGGATTCAAAAATTGCACCTTATACCACTCGATTCAATGACCTTACCACTCTAAGCTCAAGTATTGTAACTCCGGGGTATAAGAAAACTGAGTGGTACATTTGTGGTCTGGCCTGGCAGATTCAAGGAATGGGCACAACTTCAAGACCTACAACCTTCGATAGTGCCAAATGTTTGGCCTTCAACTTAACTAACCAAGAGATCCATCAAGGAACCATGGTTCATAAGGATGGTACCACAAAGACTGGTGATCATAAGAGGAAATATGATGACGAATCTAGGGGACACTCGGTACAATCCTCGTGGAAGGGATGAGACACTAGGAAGGTTTATGTGACCAGAATCGCCCCACAAAAGTAGAACAATGGAAATTATCCCAAGTGTGACAGGTGCAATGAACACCATCTGGGGGAATGCAAGGAGCTCTTTTCTCACCGTTTCAATAAGAAAGGACACGAAGACAAGTATTTCCGAAACACAAACCCTAGAATGAATACTGGTGGAAACAAGGAATGCTACAAATATGGCGAACAAGGTCATTTCAAGAGGGTTTGCCCAAAACTTAAAGATTAAGGAGGAGAACCTCAAGGAAAAAAATTCATGATAGGAACAAGGGACGCACTCAAGAAACCGTCAGTAGTAACTAATTGTTCCTCAATAAAAATATATATACAACTATAATATTTAAAATTATCTTGTTCGTGGGCAGTTCAAGCTGAATTTTGGGACGAAATTCTTCTAACACGGAAAGAATGTGACAACCATAAAAATTAGGTCAATGATTATCAAAACCAAACTTGTCAAACGTTAATGTAATAGACCTAATGTATAATGTTTCACTATTTTTGATAAAAATACAATATGATACATTGAAATACACAAGGAAATGAGTTAAACCATCAAACAACAAAAAATTTGGATGAACGAATTCCCGTTGTAGTAAGTGAATAAATACATACTATTAAAATAGATACATTTGTTATGTATTATTTTGTATAATAATACCCAATTGATAAAGTACATGTTATTGCGATTCCGTATATATAAGGAACGTCGAAAACGGAGTTCATATGTGATGAATGAAACTTTGTCATCATACAAAAAAAGGGGAATAAAAAAGAACTGTTGAAATAAAATAATAAATACGTGTATTAGGTAATATTTATTATAAATAATACCCAATTTAGAAAGCACGCGTTATTACGATTCCCTATATAAAGAACGTCGAAAACGGAGTTTGTATGCAAATGTTATGAGACTTTGAAGAAAATGTGAAAGTCAAGCGTCTAAAACGAAACTTCAAATGCTTCATTAGGTGTCTAGATGATGAATTTTCAAC